ATTTTTTTACTTGTCCTTTGAGAGAGAGATTTAAGAGTAAAAATAAAAGTAGGAGGAACAAACCACTTTTAATCCCCATTCTTACAACCCCACCATGAAAGGGCCATTCCATTGCCAATTTCAGTGCCATATTTAACGTGCTGGGACCTGAAAATGATATTTGGAGAGGTAGGGTAGGATAGGATAGGTTAGGATACTTTATTTGGCCAAATGTGATTAAAAACACAAGGAATTTGTCTCCAGTGCCTAAGCTCTCATTATACATGCAAAAGTAATAATAAATCATAATAATGTACCTTATCTATCATAATACCAATTTGATTATTTCTGACAGTCCAACTTATCAAATCAAGTCTTAGTATACCAGTATGCATATCTAGTGTATCTGAATGAGATGGGTTGATTAGATCTGTTTCCAATTGACTTTGAAGCAATTAAGAATGGCTGAGTACTCAACCTAATAGATTATCTGAAGCAGGAACTGGATAGAAGGAAGGTGTCTATCTTGTGCAGTTTTGCATGCCATTTGAAAGATAGAAACTATTTGCGGTAATACAAGTTTTGAAGATTAAGCTTTTTGAATATCGATGGACTGGAAAATAAGACTTCACAAAAACACTATTCATTGCCGAATTGGCAAAACTGGCTGATGAATTTAAAGAGCAGTTAATGTGTGGAAAAAATATTTTCTCTCCTCAGTTTTTTCATCTGCAGTACAGATAACAATGATTCCAAGAAGTCTTTTTTTCCTTAAACATGAAATATTGACAAGCATTTACTCTGTAATTGCTTTCTGATTATGTTTCACATTTATTCCTAAATCTTAAACCCCTGATACTATAAAAAAAAGCTTTGCAGCACAATGTAGCCATGCTGATTCCCTACATATTTTTATATACTAATAGCTGATAACCCGGCATTGCCCAGGTATTTATTTATAGGGGGGAAAATGTCCAGACCAAATGTAATTTCTAATGTTGGATTTTCCCACTTACCAGAGGGAACCCCCTTGTGGAGTACTGTGAAGCCATTACCATGGCAACTCCACTGCGTAGTAGAAGTCATTTTATGGCAATACAGTAGTAGCCATTTTAAGGCACAACAGGCTGTATCTTAACAGAACACACACACAGCGAGGGATTTAGGAGTGTCTTACCCCCACAGTATTTGTTTCCAGAGAGTAAATCATCTGTGCAACAAGTTTGGTTCAAATTGCTCGAGGCGTTCCAGAGTTATGCTGGAACACACACACATACACACACACAGAGACAGAGAGAGAGAGAGAGAGAGAGAGAGAGAGAGAGAGAGAGAGAGAGAGAGAGAGAG